GGGTAGATACATGAACAGGTAAAGCAAGAAACTCTCGGGACGTACCCAAATGATAAATAAAATACGAGGACACATAAGAATAGGTGGAACCGGGATCAAATAATATAGAGGCATCTCTGTGGCAAACTGAAACAATACCTGTAATGACAGCATCTGAAGAAATAGCATTTGTCCTGCCTGGAATAGCATAAAAACAAGCCTGGCCACCGCTTGATCGACCTCCCCCTCTAGGGCGACCCCTGGCTGCCTGACCCCCACCCCTAGCTGGCTGGGCGGGTGGTGAAGTAACTGGAGCAGAAGTCGAGGGCTGACCCATCTGCTGAAGCTGACCATCACAAAGTCCAGGGCACTGCCTCCTCATATGTCCAAACTCTTCGCACTAATAACAACTACCCGGTGCTGGAGATGGGGACTGAAGGGAACCCCTGACACCGAAATGACCACTAGAAGGACCTGGCATGGAAGAACCCTGGACTGATGGGGCACGTGACGAGCTCTGGCTGGTAGGGCACTGAGTGATGACTGGACCCACTGAGATCCATGATGACCATGACCCGAAGATGCCCCGCGATACTCTAGACGGGCCGATTGAGCGGGCCTAAAAGAACAACCTCTACCATGCTGGAACTAGCCCCTCGAAGGAGCACCACTGTAACTGCCAGACCCTCGAGGCCTCTTGGCCTCCCTCTCCTCTCAATCCTAACGGCAAACCATCTCAATCTAGCAAGCGATATCAACCACCTCCTCGAACGTAGCACCCAACACTCTCTCTCTCTGGTCATAAGAATACAGAGATAATAGTTAAGGCCATCAACAAATCTCCTGATCCTCTCACGATCTGTCGGAACCATCCAAACGACATGACGAGCCAACTCAGAAAACCCCGACTTATACTGTGACACAGTCATATCCCCCTGTCGCAACCACTCAAATTATCTACGCAGCTCCTCTCTGTGAGACTGCGGTACATACTTTTTCAAGAAGAGAGTGGAGAACTCCTACCAAGTGAGGGGCGCTGCTCTCACAGGCCTACGCCTCTCATACGCCTCCCACAAAGTGAAGGCGGCCCCAGAAAACTGAAAGGTGGTAAATGCTACACCACTAGACTCAAGAATCCCTGTTGTACGGAGCATCCGCTGGCACTTATCTAGAAAACCCTGGGCATCCTCGCCCTCTGCTCCACTGAATGTCGGAGGCTGGAGTCTACTAAACCTCTCAAGACGATGTTGCTCATAACTGGCACAACAAACTCCTAAGCTGGTGCAACCGGTTGGGCTGGAGGTGCCCCCGGTGTCTGAAGTCCCAGCACTACCTGCTCAGGGGTGCGAGCAGCGGGGTCTAATTGCCTCCCCCGACCTGTGAAGTAGTAGTTGTTGTAGTGGCTGAAACTGCCTAAGTCAGGGCAGTGCAAAATGATAAGATTTGTGCCATGGCCTCCTAAAGACCCGGAATCACGATGGGCACAGTTGGTGCCTGATCTGGTGCTACTGGAGCATCCATAGCTGGAGTCTGATCCGGAGTTAGGGTAGCTGGTGGATCTACAGGTGCTGCCCTCACTGCTCTACCTCTGCCGCGACCACGACCGTGTCCACGGCCTCTTGTGGGCTCAGCTGGTGGTACTGGTGGTCGTCCACCTCGTCCGGTAGCTTGCGTCCTCACCATCTGTGAGAGAATGGAATATTAGAAGTTTAGTACTTGAACCAACAAGTTTGCACGACAAGAATTTCAAGAATATAAAGTTTTTCCTAAGGGTATTGCAGCCTCTCGAGGATAAATACAGACGTCTCTGTACCGATCCGCGAGACTCTACTAAACCTTCTCATGACTCGTGAGACCTATGTAACCTAGGCTCTGATACCAACTTGTCACGACCCAATTCCTGAACCCGGTCATGATGGCGCCTCTCGTGAAGACAAGGCCAGCCAGACCAAAACAGAATACCTCTTTTAAACAGTTAAATATCATAAACAGTTCTAAAGCATGATATAATATCCATAATTTGCGGAATTAACGATAACAACAGTAAAAGCCATCCCAACACAGCCTAAACCGGGGTGTCACAAGTCATGAGCAACTAATAAATCCGGATACCAGTCTACTAGATACGAAATTCGATACAGAAGTTCAAGAACATAAAAATAGTAAGATAAGGGAGGCACGGGGGCTGCGGACGCCAACAGCTACCTCGTAGTCTCCGAAAAACACTGCCTGGACTGGAAGGATCACCACTCAGGAGCGGACTTTGCGATGCCTGAATCTGCACACACGATGCAGAGAGTAATGTGAGTACTCCGACTCAGTCAGTAATAATCATAAATAATGGCTAAAAGCAAGAAAATACGTAAAGGCACAAAACAATTCTATGTCAAGCAGTAAGATCACTTAAAGAAGTAAATCCATGAAGAAGTCAAATGAAATTCCTTTAAACCAAGTAAAACAGGTAATTTAGTAGGTAAATAACAAGTAGAAATCCGCCCCTCGGGCACAGTAATAATCACTCAGAACAGCATCAGCTCCTCGGGCTCACTCTCACCACTTAGTGCTCACTCTCACCACTCGACCCATATATCTCTCATAATAATAGAAATCAGAATAATAGCTGCGGCGTGCAGCCCGATCCGTACATCGATGCGGCGTGCAGCCCGATCCATATAGATAGTCGACTGCGCTCACTGGGGGTGTGCAGACTCCGGAGGGGCTCCTATAGCCCAAACGCTATATTGTTGCGGCGTGCAGCCCGATCCATATAAGTATTGTTGCGGCGTGCAGCCCGATCCTTAACATATATAATATCCTCACCATTGGTTTCTCAACCCCTCTCAGTCATTAACCTCACAGCCTCTCGGGCACAATAATAAAAGATAGGGATCTCAGCCCACAAATTCCTCTCATTTAGGAATAGTATGATAAAATCGGCTCGAATCGTTTAAAACAGATAGAAACATGACCGAGGATATGATTTTTAACAAGAGGAAAAATCAGTCAAAATACCCGAAGGGTTCAAATAGTTGGCACGAAGCCTAAATATGGCAATTAGCCCAAATCATGATGATAACAAATAAGTTTTAGTCAAATACACGGTAAAATCATCAGTCGAGACGGACCAAGTCTCAATCCCCAGTAGTAAAAGACCTCACGCTCATCATCCAACGTGTGTCTCACCTCAATATAGCACTACGATGTGCAATCCGGGGTTTTAAACCCTCAGGACATCATTTACAACAATTACTCACCTCGAACCGGCTACAACTCTAGCTCATGATGCCTTTGCCCCTCGAATCGGCCTCCACGCTCGTCGAATCTATCCAAAATCAGAACGAATACGTCACAATATGCTAAGGGAATAAAGCCCAAGTGAAAACAATCGAATAATATCAAAAATCCCGAAATTAGCAAAACCCGAGCCCCGGGCCAACTTCTCAAAACTCAAAAAAATTTACATTATTAGATTCCTTATCTCCTCACGAGTTCATACATATCAAAAGTTCTCAATTCCAACCTCAAATGGTCCTTCAAATCCCAATTCAAAAGTTCAAAATCCCAAGCCCTAGTTCTTCCATTTTTAGCTTAAGTTCCAAGAATTTCTAGGTTAATTTCACAATAGATTCGAGTTTTAGGTTCGAAAATCTTACTTCCAATCAATTCTCGTTGAATCCCTCTTTAATCACCTTCAAAAAGCTCTCAAAATACTCAGCTATGGAGGAAAAATGGCTCAAAATCGCGGATAAAATGACTTATAAACTTTCTGCCCAGGGGTTTTCTCATCTGCGGTACCGTTTGTGCGACAATTCCTCCCCATCTGCGGTCCACGAGCCGCATCTGCGACTCTGCAGGTGCGGTCCATATGCCGCATCGCGGTCCCTGGCTATTCTCCCCAAACCGCTTATGCGGCTCTTCTTCCACATGTGCGGCACCGCACCTGCGGTCCCCAATCCGCAGGTGCGGAAATACCACAAGCAGCAACTTCTGAGATCTCTTAAGTCCAAAATCTTCCCGTTAACCATCCGAATTCACCCCGAGGCCCCCGGGACCTCAACAAAAAGTACAAACATGACCTAATAGCTTATTCAAACTTGTTCCAATCATCAAAGCACCTCAAACAACATTAAATTACCCGAAACACATCGGATTCAAGCCTAGTTTTTGAGAAATCTTCCAAACTACATTTTCGATCAAAAACCCAACCAAACCACGTCCGAATGACCTGAAATTTTGCACACACATCCAAAATGACACCACGAAGCTACTGCAACTCTCGGAATTCCATTCTGACTCTCGGATCAAAATCTCACCTGCCAACCGGAAATCGCCAAAATACTAACTTCGCTAATTCAAGCCTAATTCTACACCGGACCTCCAAAACCAATTTCGATCACACTCCTAAGTCATAAATCACCTCCCGATGCTAAATGAACCATCGAAACTCACATCGAGCCCTCTAACTCATAAGTCAACATCTGGTTGACTTTTCTAACTTAAACCTTCTTAAAAGAGACTAAGTGTCTCATTTCTTACCTAATCCACTCTGAACGCAAACTACTCAACTTGATCACAAAAAACACGGATAACGAAGCATAAATGGGGGAAAACGGAGCGGTAACTCATGAGACGACTGGCCGGGTCGTCACAGAAACTAAAGTTACTAAAGAAGGCTCTTAAGAAGCTCAATCAACAGCACTTCAGGAATATCTTAACAGAGGTTGAGGAAGATAGGGCTGCTTTAAACCAAGCCCAGAATATATTGCATTCTGGCCCCTCTAATAAAGCTTTACAAGAACATGAGACAACCATGTGCCAGAAATTCAGGAATTTCTATTATCTAGCAGAAATGTTTCTATTACAAAGAAGCGAGGCAAGCTGGATTAAGCTAGGAGATGACAACACTAGGTATTTCTACTCAGTAATCAGGCACAAAAGACTATAACAAGCCATCATACAGATCAAGGATCAAAATGGGAAACTAGCAACAGATAGTGTAAGCATAGCAAATGTTCTTGTAGATTACTATGAAACTATGCTAGGAAGGAAAGAAATAAGAAGAGGAAAAGCTTTTCAAAGCCTCCTGAAGAATGGCACTACATTGAATGTTATACAACAGATGGAACTAATACAACCATTCACAGTCAATGAGGTGAAACATGCTATGTTCAGTATAGATGTGAACAAAATTTCAGGTCCAGATGGTTATGGTAGTGGTTTCTATAGGGAAGCTTGGAGTATAATTGGTAATTATGTTACAACAACTATATTGGAATTCATGGAGAATGGAAAATTGTTAAGACAAGTCAACTCAACAGTAATATCTTTGATCCCCAAAGTTCCAGTCCCAGAGTATGCAAGTCAATTCGGACCAATTTCTTGTTGCAATGTCATATACAAATGCATTTCCAAAAGGCTCAAGAAAGCTGTATCAATACTAGCAGCTGAAAACCAGGCAGCTTTTGTTGAAGGTAGATCATTGATTCATAATGTCCTAATCTGCCATGACTTAACTGAGACACTATAATAGGAAAACATCTCCTAGGTACCTTATGAAAATTGACCTAAGGAAGGCATATGATATGATCAGTTGGGATTTCATAGAGGAAGCTCTGAAAGGATTTGGATTTCCAGATTCATTCACTAAACTGGTGATGACTTGTGTTACTACAACCCAATTTTCTATTAGAATTAATGGAGAAAATCATGACTATTTTGAAGGTAGGAGGGGACTTAGGCAAGAGGATCCTATCTCACCCCTCCTTTTTGTTCTAGTAATGGAATATCTTTCAAGGGTTCTTAGCAAGATGGGTGATCTCTCTGACTTCAGATATCACCCCATATTGCAAGAAAACAAAGTTAACTCACTTAGTATTTGCAGATGACCTGATGATATTCTGTAAAGGAAATATGAAATCCATAGCTAGAGTGATGGAGGCCTTACAGCATTTCAGTGATGTTACAGGGCTGGAGGCAAACATAGATAAATCTAGCATGTTAGTAGATTAACTAGATGAGGTGACAAGGCAGAATATACTGAAGATAACTGGGTTCACTTTAGGGACCTTTCCTATAAGGTACCTAGACCTTCCTCTTACATCAAGGAAGTGGAATAAGATGGATTACAAGCAATTAGTTGATAAGATCACAAACAAAATCACTGTTTATACAAGGCAATTGTCATATGTTGGGAGATTGCAAATAATAATGGTAGTTCTGTTCTTTATTTACAGCTTCTGGAGTACTGTGTTTATTCTGCCTCAAAGTTTGGTAAAGCTTGGTGATAAGAAATGCAGAGATTTCCTATGGGGTGCACCTGAAGACAAAAGGAAGGTTAACCTAGTAGCATGGAAAAGGGTATGTATTCCTAAACAATATGGAGGTTTAAACATCAAAAGTTGCTGCAAATTGAATATTGCTGCAGTAGGTAAACTTCTATGGCAATTAGCTAGGAAAAAAGACACACTATGAGTCAAATGGGTCAATAGTATATACATAAAGGATAAGGAAAGTAGACGGGAACACCAACCACCAGCAGACTATAGCTGGTATTGGAAGAAATTGAATGGCAGGATGGTATAAAGGAGACAAATATATGCTGTCAAAAATAGGAGAATACTCTATGTCCAAGAGCTATCAACATATGTTGGGGCCTCTATCTAAAACAAGGGAAGTTAAGCTAATATGGAGTAAAGTAATTCTTCCTAAACAGAGATTTATAATATGACTGGCATGTCAAAATAAATTTCTAACCAAGGAGAGGATGCAGAGATTGCAGTTTCAAGTAGAAGATCACAACTGGTGCTTATGTGACCAGACTCAGGTGGAGACTCAGACTCACCTCTTTGGACAATGCAAATGGATAGCAGCCCTAAGAGATAAGTTGAATAGCTAGATGGACATCAAAGTTCATAACAATGAAGCTAGTAAGGTGATCAAATGGATCCAAAGAAGAAGATGGAGCCAAGTCCAGAAGGAAATAGTTGTTACTGTATGGGGTGCCATGTTGTATTACACCTAGCAAGCAAGGAACTGAAAAATATTCCGGAAAGTAAGTGGGAGCATAGACCTTGTAAATGAACAAATTAAGAAAGAGATTGTAGACAGATTGGAGATAGTGTATAGGAAAAAAAGAGATAGGAAAAGTAAAGTGTTGTTTCAGAGAATATGTAAATAGATGTGCTGATATGCTTGGAGATCTAGTGTTTGTATCCGTTCAGACTCTAGAGGCTCATAGGATGTAAAAACTATTTTTGGTTGTAATGATAATATTCACATTTGTTACCAAAAAAAAAATATTTGCTTTTATTTTCTGATTCAAAAGGTAATTGTTGGATGATTTTTATTGTCCTAAATAAAACATAAGTGACTTTAATAGGATATTCTCATAATTTGGGTGGACATCCAAGAAATTTACTCTGATTTTTAGATCTCAAGACTTTCACTAGTTATACAATATTCTCTGCAAAAAATTTCTACACCTATGCTCTCTTTTAGACCGTTTAAATAGATTTATCCTTTCTATATTTTTTTTAATCTGACTATCGTCTCAGTATGTACAGTTACTCCTTTAGATAGTTTTCAGCTCCTCAAGTATAGCTTCAGTTTATGTATTTTCAATGAGTTACTCGCACTTAATGTTTGAATAAAATCAGTTGATGTAAGGCATTTGTACTGTATCTAAATTTTAGTATCAGTTAACTATGATTAGGTGATATGTATTTTCAATTTAATTAATAATTCTTAATATTAAAGTAATATATTTTGATTTTTTTTATTAGGATGTATAAATTATCTGTAATTACACTATAGAAACTCTTTCCAGATACCAAATTCAATACTCCTACAAATGTAACAAGAACGATTGAACATTAATTCGAATTAGTCGATGATGCCGTTACTGATCATATACATAAGCAGATGCAATTTACATAGGAGTATTTCTCTTCGGTGGAAATTAAAGTTGACCAGATTCTCGATCTTACAATTACAGAGTTCATATGCGGTCCAAATTGCTGTGACGCTGTAATCAAGATTCAGCTTTTGAAACTTGGATGTAATAAAAACAATCAAGAAATGCACTTAGCTTCGTTGTCAATCAAGCCACTTTGTAGTCCGTTTCTCGAATCCTTGTACATCTCTGTCTTTTCTAACTTCTACTAAACGATAGATCATCCATTTCATGCATGATCTTTTAAATTTTAAAGACTAGTGGCTCTTTTATCAAACGAAAATTCGTCAGTTGGATTGGCAATATTGATCTCATGTTGGTCACGAGCCGTTTGTTGTAAAGGAACCACTTGAAACGAACTAGGCTCATGACCTAATTCCGAGTCATGATGCAAGTGATCATGACTAATTTGAGTTTGATGCATGAAGTATGAGGACAAGCCATCCCTACCCTGGTTGAACCGGGTGGGAGATGGCGAGCCCTCCCTAGCCTGGTTGAATCGGGTGGGAGATGGCGAGACCTCGTTGTCCCAATGGTCAACATTGTAATTTGATCTTCGAGGACTGTCGTCCATTTCGCTCCTCCAGTGGTTTCCACGGAGGAGATGGACAGGTGACATGCCGTGAGAAGGCGTAGTTGGCCTGCTTGACATTGGGGTTACTGTATTGGAATGCTTGTTGATCTCTTTGACGTGCTTTTTGGCAGTGTGGTGCCAGTTTTTCAATGCTGTTGCCACTCTTTCGTTGAAGATGGTTGACTTCATTGATGATCCCATCTGTTTAAAATTGTACAACATTTTCAGCACAGTTTTAGTTTCTATATACCATCAGTATAAAAGATCTTTTACACTATCATATATTACATAAAGATTAATTACACGTAATGTAGGAAATATTGGGTCCACCCATAAGGGGTGCTCTAAGCCCCAATAGGGTTATTAATTAATTAACCCTAATATTCCCTATATAAGTACACTTAGTGTGTACACTAAAAGATGACTCTGAACAGTATTTTTCCTACGCTCTCTATCTCATAGTCAAACTAGGGTTTAGACTGTGGAATTGGAGGTTGCTCCAACACATCGTGACAATCATTACCGACCAGTGATTCCAGCCACGGTTCATCCATTTTCGCTTCCGCTTCACGAAAAACAAGTAAGTTCTCGTTTTATGATTTACGCGCTATCTAATGTGTTTAGATTATCACATGTTCCTTCACGTAATTTCCCTAATAAGTTGATAACAATTTGAAAAATAAGACATGCAACATATTATAACGAATTACAGCGTGAGTGCATATAATTTAGTCGAAACCTTTCAGTGTTTTATTCCAAAGAAGGAAGAAAATGAATCTCCGTTGAAGGATAGAAAGTTAAGTTATTCTCAATGCTCAATGTTGTAATATTGCGACAATAATTGCCTGTGCGACTTGAATGTTACTCCCTCTGTCCAAATTTATGTGATATTTCTCTACTTTTCAAGATTCAAATTTGTTAATGTTGATTGGATATTTGAACATAGATTCTTTAAATTTTTCGAAATAAAATTTATATATTTGGGAACTACGTAAAAATTTCATAAGTCACAATAATTAATGATTCGAAATATTTAAAAGTCATATGAAAAAATTGCAATCAAAGAACAACTTGTCTAACTCTCGAAATTCGAACAACTTCACTGGAACGGATGAAGTATTAATTATATTGTGGAATTGGTGGATTATATTTTAAAAAGTTATGCAATTGTTTTAATGTACACACACACTTCATATATATACCTGTGTCACGAGGGCATATAGCGGAAGGGTGACATAGCTGCAGAGAATCTGAATAAGAACCCTACAATACCAACAATTTCATATATAAATACTTTGGATGAAATTAAATGTTAAAATAGAAAGCAAAACCGCAAAAATAAAGAGTTGTACAAGATATATAATACTGACCCCATTGTCATTCTAATGACGATATCCTCAGTATGGTCGTGGAAACAAGATTTTAACCCGAATTCATACTGTTATTACCAGAGAAACCATACAAAATCCGAAGTTAGTTTTAATTATCTTGGTTTTCTTTTTTCTACCCTATTAACGTTCATAGAATTAGTTTGTTGGCTTACCCAAGTCCAAGCAAAGAAGGCCAACTGAAAAGCATTCTGCAAAAAGTCAACAAAGAAATTATAAAAGGTTAACAAGGTCAAAAAAATATTTTTACGTATAATGAGTTTTAAGAAAAAGAAGAGAAAGGAATACCTGAAAAAGGACAAAATTAATGAGATAAAGAAGGAGACGAGGACGATTAAACCAAAAGAGGTCATCCCCAGGTTGAACTACAGGGACACCCTTCACTACTTCCCCTCTTTCTTGAATTCTTAGTCCCATTTTTGTTATGATTACTTGTAGCTTCGTCCCTACTAGCAATATCACCTGCAATTTTATTTACAATTTATGTTATATAAACATTTTTCACATTCCTTCATACATTAAAACAGGTTAATTATTATTTTTATTAGGTTACTTATTAATGTTTATAATATACTTGTAATTACCTTGTAACTTTTAAGTTAATCTCATTCAGTAGCGAAGCCGGGAAATTCAATAGAGTGTTCAAATTTTGAACATCTTTTGTCAGTGGGCTATGCAAGGGTATTCAAAGTTTATATTTTAATCAATAACAAATGATATTTATCTTGTATATAGTATAATTTTTCAGTCAAGGGTGCTCGATCAGTTGACCACTCTGGGACATACGTAGCTTCGTCCCTGCCTCGATGTATAAAGAAGTAAAACTCTTTTTTTATCACCATTTAAATTTCAATCACTTTGTATATTTTAAATTATTTTTGACCAAATCAAATAATGAATAAATAAATACACACGTAGGAACTCATGAAAAGGATAGATGTAAAATTTGCAAATAAGAAAAAGGAACGAAAGTCAAATGGAAAATGTGTACAAATGATTGGAACTACTTACAAATAACGGAATGAACGGTAGCCACAGATAAGAATACCAGCCTGTCCACAATTGACAATGAAATAATGCTTTAGTCAATTTAATTGCGAAAGACTCGGAAAGGAAAAAATTAATTACGTAAGAATAATGTAGGCCCTTATTAGTTTAAATTTTTTTTGACTTAGATGAACGATTTCAATGGATTTTAACACATTAATCTATATAGCCATATAGCAAAATCTTGATTTGGTCGGAACTAACATATATATTAGCGGTAAGTGCAAAATAAAAATATCAGTACTCTAATCTGTGATTCTTTTCCAATGTCAATCTGACCCATTGTTCAAAATGAAATCTTAGAAATCACATAAAAGTTAGGGTTTTTAGATTTGAAAACAATATAATCACGAATAAATTAAGATGTAAATTAGCCGTACAAAAAGAGACCAAAAAAATACAATTATATGCTTCCTCCATAGTCCATTCCAATTTATGGTGTAATTTGACTAAGTATGGATAAAAAAGAAAGAAAGATTGTTAGAAGTTAGAACTTGTGGTCTCAAATCTATTATAACATTTTTGTAGATATAGAAATATGTTAATAAGGATTAAAAAAAAGTATAACATTTAAATTATTTTCAATTATAAAAAATTATTTTATTAAAACGCTTGAATAAGGAAATAATGTCACATAAAGTGAAATAACATAAGTAAAGTTATGTTGAATTATTTACCATGAGTATTAAAGAGTAGGAACAGCACAGCAAGGAACCAAATTGGGGGACTGCAAAGAAAAAACACAAAATTTGAAAATTGTCAGCTATAGATTAATTAACACAAGAAGTGTGAATATTATTGAATTGTGTGCTGTCCAATTGGTTAAAATATATTCAATTAAATATTAATAAATAGAAAATCAGAACAATAAATCGAAATGCTCAAAACCTGATGCCAACGACAACTTTGAAGTCCTCTTCAAGTGACCTCTTGATATACTTTTGGAAATCAAACTTTACGTGGCTCTGAGGTGCCAAATGCGCCTGGAAGTTACATCAAAATTATTATAAAACATTCAAGAATAGAACAAATTCAAAAATTTAAACTTGATGGGTTTAATATTTAAGATTTTTATTATCCAAATATTAATTTTCTCCTTCACTTATTTTAATTAAAATCTAATCTTGATGACATGTGTTGTGTGTATATATGTATGTATGTATATGTATGCAAGTGAAAATAAAGTTACCATGATAAAACCATGTCGTAGGGTCAAGTAGTCAACTTTAGGGACAGATCTTACAAATTGTCTGAAGAAACAAACCTGCAAATTTAAGGCAAATTACAAACGAAAGAAAGGTTACTATATAATATTGATTCTTTTTTTCAAACGAAAATTAAATCAGAAAAGCTAATATTGCGTATTTTTTCTGATAACAGATCCTTGTTTTCAATTTTGTGATGTACCGTCCATATCTAAAGTCAAATAAGCTGCTTCTTGCAAAAGCCAGACAAATAAAAAAGAGCAATTATCCTTTCTTGGGTAAGTGTCCCTATCCCTTAGTCAGAGGATTGCCACGGCCTCTATTCAATCTTTCTAGTATATTTGTTTACACAATTAAACACAAATTAAGAAAATAAAAGAAAAAGGTAGGGGAACAAGAGGTACATATATATTGTCATCAACTTCTGATTATTCTTTATTTATATAATAAGGATATAACTAGCATTTGAGGGTTAAACACTTCTAAGACTCAAAATACCACTACATTGCAATTCATCAAGTTATTTACATTAGGTGCAAACCTAGAGTAGGATAATCATTTTACCCTTTAGTTTTTTTTATATCTTGCTTAAACAAATAGTAGTAAGGTAGGTTATCTACGTCAAACCCACTTGGGGTGCGGCTTATCCCCGGACTCTGCATGAATGCAAGATATTTTATGCACCGGATCGCCTTATATATGAAATTCACTATTGAGATGATAGCTTCAATATTAAAAGCTCTAGATGGAACACAATGAATATTGATCATCCATATAGATAATTTTAACTAGTTTGAAATTGAGACGTAATTATTGTTATGATTGTTGTTCTTATGCATATAATATGGGAATAAGAAAGAGCAATGATTTCCCGAAAAAAAATTGAGATCAAAAGATGCTTACAATCCAAAGAAGAACTGGGTTTTTAGTCCAAAAACTCAAGTGTCTTCTTCCAAATGACGTGTCTCTAGCAAAGCGGAATCGCTCAGGATCTGTTAAATATGGAAGGTGTCAGTCAATATAGTGGATTTAATTTTTTTATCATATAGTTTATTTTGGTTATTATATAAAAGCAATATATGGGGGAATAAAATGAATATTAAAAGATTTTTACTATTTATTAATTTACCATGAGCAAATTGGTATTCAGCTGTTCTTGTTTCCTTTTCCCATGCCTTCCATCGACTCATCTGAAAACGGCAAAAAAAAAAAAAAAAAAAAA